ACCTGCATAATTTGCGAATGTGTCAATGTTAACTGTCATGGGTGACAGGTGAGGAAAATAAATGACAGTTAATGTCAGCAAAGTAATAACACGGGTAATATTGCATTAGCGAATGTAAATACTGTTTTCATTTCACACTTCTCCCCTCCTTTTGCATACTTTCAATTTCGATATATCAAAATCTGAAACTTTCAAAAATTGTTGTAAAAATCTTTCATAATCTACATCTTTCACCTACACTTTCATTTATTTGCAGATTTTTCGAAAATTTAATCTAATTACCGAAATTTCATTATGCTAATTAATTTTATTAATACCAATTTAAAACTTAATTGCATTCCAAAATCCCACAAAATTCGATATTCGAAGTGTATTCAGTAATTCAGATAGCACGGATAGCAATTTGAGACATTATACTATTTCACACTCAGTCGAATTGAATTTAATTTATCTTTGTAAATTCGATAAAAGTTAAATGAGTGTTCTTCCACTTATATGAAATATAAAAATTTATTTTTTCTTATCAAAATAGATTATATGGAAACTTTTATGTATAATCCATTTTGATAAGAAAGAAAGAAAATAAATTTTTATATTTCATATATAAGGAGTTATTTTTTATATTTCATATACAAGGAGTATAAAGGAGTTATTATACTTTAGTTAAACACATTTTATTAAAACTTCATTTCAATTCGCCTATCATTTTCAATTAATTACAATTGAGCAACTTCAATTCAACTCATTTCAGCTAAACAACAATTTATAATTTATAGATCAGACCAAATCCTGATGAAATTAAACTTACTTGAAAGAGATAAACCCCATCTACAATCGTGTTAGAAACTAACATCGAAATTCTTCTGATTGTTTTCGGCAAGATATTTTAGAAATGTATTGTAGTTTTGTATGCAATGTTAGGAAGCATAGTTTAGTTAGACAGACAGGGTAATATAAATGAATAATATTCAACACAAAAGGCAGTAAGTATAGATGCATTGTTAATTCTATTAATATTTCGTAATACTTCTAAATTGGAATTAAAAACTCTATTTAGAATATCAAAATTTTCCATAAGATTCTTTGCTACCAGCTAGCTTCATGTCAATTTCACTGTATGCTAAACACAAAAAATGCTTTAAGACTTTGTAATAGAGCGATAATCCCCAATTCAAAAAGCTATTATAACTTGCTGAGTCACAACCACCCGAGGATTCACCATAACTCGAAAACGCACCACATTTCGAGAAAAAACCGGAATCTGAAAACATACACAGATGTGCATTTCAATCATCATCGAAGACAATCTTCTTTGGTTTACATGATGTTTTCAATTTTTTTAGAGCTTCATGTTCCTGTTTTTTAGCGATCCACGATGGATGCAAGTTCTGATTCCCAGACAACTTCATCGTATTCCATAAAACTTCTAAAACAATCGACATTGAATACAAGTTATAAAAAAGATGAATTTTTGAAATCTAAAAAATAAAAAAAAATACTGAAAGAAGAACCGCGATGTCTTTATCGAGAGAGCTAGAGAAATGAAATGTGTCAAGAAGTGAGCAAAAAAGTTCAAATTTCAAATTGAAAGTTTGTAGAAGACTAATAACTAAAACTGAAATGATGATTCTTCGAAACATATGTTTCCGTTCCTTATCCTAGTTTTAATTTGCTTATAACAACAACGCAAAAATTAAAACTCTGAAAACAGTGGTTAAACTCTTCCATTGGATTTAAAAAGTGAAGAACTGTCTGATCATCTATTTGCATATTAAATTTTAAGTTTAAGTCATATAAATCGCTTGTTGCAACCTTCTGAAGATGATTCAGCTCTAGACTTATTCTGCATCATGGTATCCTTTCGTTTCTCGTTTTCTTCGTATCTGAGATTTCTCTTTCGTTTTTGAACATCCTTCATTTTTACTAGTAGACTGCTTCTATCGGCTTCATCATTCCCATTAATCATAATTTGTTTTGCATTTCCTTGCAACACTACATCTGAAATTCACAATATATTTTCGCAAGTTAAAGAAAGCTATTAAAAATTGAAGAAAAGAACTTGAACTTCAACCTTTACTTTTATCTGATACGCTAACTGATGGAAATTCATCGTTTTGATTGTCGTCTAAACTCAACAATTTGATGATAGCCTAAACAAAATGAAGTATCATTAAACATAACTGCAAGAAGTGAAATGCACTCCTTAGCATCAATTGATATCCATAATCAAGAGAGCAATAATGTCCAAGAATTATCAGGAAATTTTATGGAAAAGAAATTCAATTCTAAAGTTCTTCCAACTCACCAGTTCTTGAGCCCCAACCGACACTCTAAATGGATTTCCTACTGTTTGAAATACGAAGCCTTGTAATAACTCTATTAATTTAAAATGCTTTTTAAATTCAGTAGAAATAATAGGCCCTATTAATATACAATGCTTTTAAATTTAATATAAGTACAAATTTTTGAAAAAATTACCTGCCCCTTAGCAATTACTGGTTTCGGAAGTTCCAGCTTAGGTAAGTGGACAACTGGAATAGGTATTTCTTTAAGTTCATTGGGTTTTGTCTTATCTTTCAGTTTTTTCTTTTTCTTCTCAAGATTTTTTTTCTTTTTTACATCTTTCCGTATTTCTTTTTCAACAAGAATCTTCACATCTTGAACATTTTCAGTTTTCTAAAAATGATATATGTCATAAGATGATATGCTAACTATAGAAACCAATTGCCAAAGCATGAGATGTTCCATATTCTTACTAACAAATTCTGTATTATCGTAAAACAATGAAAACTTAAAAAATATGTGATCTTCATGATGGCATGGAAAGTGAAGCAGTAAGTTTACTTTTTCCAAGGAGGTTTCAACCGTTTCCTTCGTTTCATTTTGTAGCAACACATACTTTTTCGCATCCCTCTTAGATTTATATTGCAAACCAAGTCGTTGTAAGAGGAACGATACTTCATTCTGCCAATTTGGATATTTGGTACGAAATTCCTCAACACTTTTTATCACTGTTTCTTGGCATGCCAATTTATACAAAATTCGTTCATCAATAGACATTTTATTCTAAAATTAGAATTAAATTTATGAATTGGCGTGGAAAATTTAGAAATAAAAAGAAAAAAATTGCAGCTTATTTCGCTAGCAGAAAAAAACTTTAATCAAATGTAGCGCTACAACTCTGCCTTGGCCTCCCTGTAACAGTCGTACCTATTTAGCTCTGCCGACTACTCGACATCTTTCAAGAGATAAAATTAACTTTTAAGACTGCACAGGACGGATTGAAATTGATTTATCGCTGTAATATTAATATAGAAACACTTGCGGGTCAACACTGTTCCCACTCAAATAATATTATGGTAAATATATATATATATATATAAAATAACCTTTTTCAACAAATCACTAAGTGGTTTAATATTAATTAATGCAAATTTCGAAACATCGTCTCGACATACTTTCTGAAATAGTTCACTGCAAATTAATGTTTAATGTGAATTGTGTGCCTACAGATCTTAAGCCAATCTATTTACATGTTTTAAAAAATGTGTTAGCAAAATTATAATCAGAAAATACTTTGCAACGGTCAATTTCCTCGGTGATTCGATTCACTTTACGAATTTTCTTTTCATCTTTCGATTTTTGAAGCAATTTCCTTTGTCTGATTAGCCGTCGACATAACCGAACACGAGCTCTTTCAACGGGTTTCCGCATGGAAATGATCTAAAATAAATCGTCTCAATTAAATTAAATGCTATATAATAAAGAAAGCAGAAGAGGAGAAAAATTCGGACTTCAAGCCTTGAAATTTAGCGCCCATTTAACTAAAAGACAAGTAACAATTGGAACTACAAAGGATACAACATATCCAATTAGCTATAAAGAATCGCAAAAGCGTTGATAAGAACATGAAACTTCCCAGTGATATAATAATTATATCAAAAAACACAACAATGTTACCTGTTCGTTAAGTTTCATTGACGTCAAGGTAGACATAGTGTTTTGAAGCAATGATACGATATGATACACGTCCTCAATAATAGTACATTAAATTCGAACGCTTCAATAAATAATTTAAACAGAAAATATTTCATTAATTTAATCCTGAATTGACCATATTCATCATGAACTGACTGAAATTCCGTCTTTCCAAATAGCAACATTGTCTACATTAGCTAATGAGAGTTAATCCTTTTGGCACAATAGCGAAATTTACTGCATTCAATATTACTTCATTTATATATATTCTTTTTCTTCTCATCTATTTTAAATAAAAAGATATATTTTAATGCAATGTGATAATTAATGCATTTAAAAGGAAATAGAACCATTGATGATATGTAAAAGTAACTATCAGTTACATTGTTTATCAACTTATACAAATAGTAACATTACTGGACAAATAATACATTCAACGGATAACACACAATCATAAGTAACTTATATATATGCCAAAGTACGAATTTGAAATAGCACCATATTTTCGTTATTAGTAACTCGTTTACGCAGCCAATGCTTCTTCAATTTCCTATATTACTATTCTTGAAATAATGCTGTAGCATCTGAGAATTTTACACCTTCCGACGGGAATTCCTTATCAAAAGGATTTGGTGGTGGTACAGCATTTGGAAGCCGTGCAAGTTCTTCTAGCGTACGACCTTGATTTGAATGTTCATACAGAAATACACCAGGATGTCTAAAATAAGTGAGGACAAATTATATGTTTAGAAATTATATGTTTAGATTATATGTTTAGAAATTATATGTTTTTTTTAGCATAGTTTCGAAAATTTGATAAAAAGAAAAAAAAAATTAGTAGTACTTTCGGCAGTGTTCCTCATAAACATAGCACACGTCAGCAAACTGTTCTACTCCAAGACATATTGCAGTGGTTGTAGGATCAATTCTGCATCGTCTTAATAAGTCATTAGCTAAATTTTTGGCTAATTCTTTCGGGTAAAGACTTTGGACTCCTTTGATAACATATTTTTGCCTGTAGTTAAAAATACGTCGGCAAACTTTTTCCACCACCTAAAATGATACATTGGCAGCAGCGAATTAGAGTTTATATCAAGTGAACATAATTCAATCCATTAAAACGAAAAAAACTTTACTTTCGTGACCGATTAATCAAAAACAACACAACTGTTAATTTTGTATCCAAGTCATGGTGACAGCATTAAATGGTGAGACAAGATTTCTGGAGAGATATAAACTCTCTAGAAATATTGTGCCACCATTTAATGCTATCACTATTATAAGCAAATAAAACTT